TTATTAGCTCTTCAGTGTACTTCACTGTTACCTTTCTAGATGCAATGTTAGCATGTGGTTTCCAAAAAGCTGTAAAGGAACTTTTGGCTATTGTGAAACCTCAATGAATCAAATGAGTTTATAAAGTTCCCAACCCCTCGACACTCAGCCAGGGCTGGGACTAGCACTGCAGCTAGAGGATGTGTTGAGTATTTTTGTCTCCCCTTAGAAATGGCAAGTGTAACACAAATGATCGTGAGGTCAAATAGCCCTATAAAATCGTTTAGTACTCAAAGCAGCTACCAGTCTAAGCTGTCTGAGCTGAACAATAATGAGGAATATTGCACTTTTCTTATTTAAATTTTATGACCCCCATCATGAATTTGGGTCCTTTTCCTCGTGCTCGCTCCCTCTCCCCCTCCCTCCTGCCACCTCCCACCCTCTCCCCGCTTTAGTGATAAAGTGCAGCGAAGTTGTCGTGAAATCGGATACTTTTTGGAGGGTTACAAACCCTTATAAATGTCACCACATCCATCTTTGCTCTGAAGGAAGTCACAGAAAATGGAAATACCCTTTAAAAAAAAACCCAGCAGAAAACAAGTCAGAAAAAGAAACGGGTATGGGGGGGTTGAAGGGGGAAGACATGTTTTACAGTTCTTTTGGCAAGGAGGTTCCCTGAAAGTACAAAGTTTCCATGTCCTAGGATGCCTTAAAGAGACAGGGAGGATTTCCCCTTTGCCTTGAACTGGAGTCACTTCCTACCAGAAGGCAGCGGATGCTTGTGCCGGTGGTACGGTGGCTGCTCGGCGCCAGCCCAGCTCCCCTCTCTGCTGCCACCCTCCCTGCTGCGATCTTCTCCGTCTCCGCTGCCCCATCCCCGACCTGCGGCCACTGTCGCCTCGCAGGAAAGTTGCTTTGTCCTAAGGAAAACAACAACTAAGATGAACTCAGCAGTGCGTTTCCTTAACTTTCCCCACTCCCAACTGCTCCGCTCACTCGCGAGGAGGGGGACACGGGGTGGGCAGGAGGTGCCGGGCGTGGGCTGGTCCCTTTTGCCTCTAGTAGGACAGGCAGATGAGTAATTTCATAGGTGAAATAGATTATTACTCGCTTTTATTTCCCCTGGCTTTCTCATACTCCACACTTATGGTTCCCAACCTTAACTTAAACCCCAGGACTCAAAGTGCTTCCCTTTCAAGTTAGGAAAGGCAGAATTTGGGTTTTCATGGATCTCGTCAGTGGCAAAACGTGGCCATTGTGGTTTTTTAACGTGTTTAATCCAACGTCTAAGACCCCGTGTCTGACTTTGGCGCAAGTATCTCTAATTCACACAATAGGGAACCTAAGCAAACACACACAAAGATCATTTGTAGTAAAATACTTTAATTGGATGGGGGAGGTTGGGCTGTTGCCTGTATAAAACACTTGACCCATTTTATGCATGGAAATAACATTCCACTATGAAAAATGAAAAGAAATGCCCCAGTTTAGCACCGTAGAGCTTGCAGCTCAGCTCGGGAGGACTTTGTGATTTTTATTTTATTTTTAAGCTCCCCCTCCCCGCCTTGCACTCGGTCTTGAAGAGGAGCCAGGTTTGGCTCTGTGTGTAAACACCTGGAAGAGGTCCAAGAGGAACTCACTCGGAGTATCCTCCGCACACCACAGCCTCCCAGACCTGCAGCAAGCTTAGGGAGAGATTACGCTTCCCTCAATGAGGAAATCAAGGGTTCTGGCTGCCAAAACTCTTGGCTTTCTCATTTTCACTGTTTTGGGATGTGACAGACCCAGGAGCCCTGTTCTGCCATTGAAGTTGCATCTGTAGGACCCCACTGAAATCAAACAGCCCTTCTGGGTGTTTGGGGGAATCAGGGGCTGGGTCAAATTTGCTGGGGGTGCCAGAAGTGAGTTTCTCCCCAACTTCCATCCCAGTTGCAAAGTGGGAAACTGTGTGATCATACAGATCTGGGGGAGAGGGCGGGATTGACTGGAAGACAACTTTTTTTCAGAGTCCTCCATCTGCCTTCTGCCCCCCACCCTCTGCCTATGTTGACTGCTCCCTTTCCATCCCTCCTTGCTGGCATATAAGTAGTAGCTGCAAGTCATGTAGGAGCCACATATGTGCCTATAGGGGAGGTCTGTTGTGTCTGTTAAAAATCTCATGTAGGACCCAAGTTGTTATCAGCTTCTACGCCTGAGCTCTGATATAATGGAGCTCTTCTGCTAATCCAGGCTACAGGAGTTTCTGTTTCTGTCTGGAGCCAACTCTCCTTACGTCACCCTCTGCTGCAGTATTCAATTTGTTTTCATAAATGGCTAATTTTACAGCGCTGTTAAGTGGGTTCGTCATTGCGCCAGGCCATGCCCTGTCTCTGATGATGGGCGGTCCTTGGTGCCAGGCTCTGCCAATTTTCACGCTGGTTGGCAGTGATGTTATTGCTGCCCTGTTTGACTTCACTGATATCTGTTCTGGTATTTGTCAGGGAAAGCTGTTGGGAAACTAGAAGTCTGACCCATTGATCTGTGTTACGCAAAAGCTCAGAAGCATTTTCGGAGCTGGGCTGCGCTTCGTTCGTGCAGCTCCCGCGGTGCGGCTCTCCGGCGGAGGCAGCTCTCGGCTCGTGCGTACTCGCCTCCCTCCCCGGGCCGCGTAGTTCTTGGACAAACACTCCCTGGATGTGCGTACCTACCCCACAGCACAGTACATCCCTCTGACAAACGCACACATGTGCACATGGTATTAATCATGCAAGTTTGTGCACTTTCCCCTGTAGAGCCTTTGAACGCATCTCTAGTCGTGAACGAAGGAGTTAAGGTCCACGCTGTAGGCAAGTTAGGTAATGCACATGCCGTGCAAAATAAGACGCCTCAAAGCACGGTTGACCTTGCTTCTGTTGGAATCAAAGGTATTTCAGTTCTACTGTGGAAATGCTACTCCATCCTAAGAAACAGGATCCTCCTGAGTCCCTGTCAGTGTGTTTTCTGGTATATGGCTCAGGAGCGGGGTAGCTCATGTTGTCATAGGAAGGAGATGTTGACTCTTTACTGGCTGAGAGCTGAGAGGAGAGGGATGAATGATCTGCAGTGGGAGCTGGAGTAAGAAAGCGTGCCTGCTCTGAAGAGGGAAAGTTATTTGTGTTTTGTTTTGGTGGTTTTTTTTCCCCTTCCCAGTTTCATTCTCCTCTTTCTCTCTATTTCTTTGCCTGCCAACAGAGAGCATGATCCCAACTTAATAAAGCTTCATATGTAAGGGAGTGCCTATGTTTTCCCAACTTCAATCCTTGGTGAACATAAAACTGCAGCAGAATCCGATGGGAAAGAAATGCCAAAATCAGCACAGTGGAGCTCGCTTAAAGCCACAGCTCTCGCACGTAAGAGACTGAGAAACATCTGTGTTGGGGTCCAATAATTGGGCAATTATAAAGATATGTAATTGACACTCCTTAGGTCTGTTCCCTCCACAAGGTTTAAGAATATATGTTTACTTTGGGGGGTTAATTTGGTTTCCTTCTGAAGTTTTGGGGTCTGATATTGAATTAATATGCTTCAGGCAGAATTGGTGAGCTGGGTCCTGTCCCTGGAGCTGATCCTTGTAAGGGACGTGTTGGCAACTTGAGGATGTCTTCCATAGAGAGTTTACTCTGAGTTTCACTGGCACTAAAATAATCAGTAGATAGATAATGCAGCATTTTCTTGTCTTCAACAGCCTGTTGTCTTTTCATTGCCTTAATTTTGTTGGTTTGATCTGTAATGAAGTACCAGAACGAAGGACTATGAGTAAGTCAAATGTAAAGCTTGTAGTTCTGTTGTTTAATTAGTGCTGGTGAGTGCCAGGTCCCAGGGTGATGGACGCGATGGGCAGAGTGGAGTAATGGCTGGACCAAAGTGACAGGAGCTTGAACACCTGCCCAGATGCTCCTTCAGGGTGACAAGCCTCCAACACACTGTTGCTGAAGGCTACAGGTAGCCGTGTGGTTTTGGCTTCCCTGTAGATGGGTTTAAATGATTAGCCACTTCATGAGTATGGATTTGGATAAGGTATGACTAATAGGCCACTGAAAAAATACGGCATAGCTTGTCATTTACTAAACATTTGCGTTTCAACTGGACATTTCCTTCAGCCAGCAGAAGGTGGGACAAGAGTCAGAAACTGGAAAAGAAAAAGAATTTTTCTTTCCATAAGATTTCCAATTTTAACTGGCCTCGTTCTTTTGACCAGTTACACACTAGAGTCATCCTAGCACAGCTAGAAGAAAGGTTTGGGTTTTTTTTTCCTTAAAGCACTCACATGTAGGCTGCTCTAATTAATAAAATGGTAATAAAAGAAAGAGGGAAATTTGACTCTGTGTATGTGCAGGATGGCAAATTTAGATTCCTAAATGATGTATGGCTGTCTCCTGTAGGCACGGAGATGTGTCCCAGGCTGAGCTTGCCTCTCCAAGCTTCATTTCGGCCTGATTTATTTCAAGCCAGCCTGTTTCAGTTAGAAAAACTCATGTGAGGTGGAAAGCAAAGCCGAGGGGGTGGTGTGCGGAGA